ATTTTACGACCTTATTCTCGTAATGTTACGACTTTATTCTAGAAATAGAAAAAAAAATCTCTAGCCTGACCCTAATACCCCGTCGTAGTACTCTACTTTTTCCCTAGGAGTAAATTCCTAGATTTGTGAGAACGAAATACAACCCTACACTGCCATGTTAACTATCCAGCAATACAAATAATAGCAAACTTCAGCACATCTGAAGTTTAAGCTGGATATTTTGCTACCTGTATTGTGGGGGTGAACCCTAGGGTTCAGGCCACATTGAAGTCAGAAGAAATAAACCATTCTGCGAGGTGTAGAATGATAAGTGGCTCCATGCTTTGCTATGGTAGGCCCCAATAATAACAATAACTAGAAAAAGCTGTTTCGGAGAAACAGCAAAGTGGTAATGTTTTATTCTGCTGAATAAAAAAGAAATATTTGCCACAGAAACTGAATAAAGGAAAAAAAAAGTACAAACTAGCTGAAGAACATATGACAATGTGATAGGAAGTCATCACAAACTTCAAACTGCAGAAAACAATTGAATCATCTGAAGATTTTGTAGAATAGAATCATTTGGAAGAATAATGGCAGAAACACACTAATTTTTTAAAAGCAGAACATTTCTTGAAATTTGATAAACCAAAAGAAAAAGTCCAAAAGCATCTGTTTCCCTGGAAGTTGACCGAAGTTGAACTAAAAATATTCTTAAAAAGACAAAGTCCTTTGTAAAAGAAAAGAGCAAAATTTGCAAAATGTAAAGGATCTGTAAAATGCAAATAAAAATGAAAATAGGATTAGTGCCAAGTTTCATGTTTCCTCAAAAGAGGATGTGGCCATGGTGACGATGTAAAAAAGGAGAATTTTGAAAGATTTTGGTTTGAAAATTTACAGTTTTGAGGCCCCTGAATAACATAGCTGCACGGTCAAACCATAAATGATATCTAAAGCATAACTGTGAAAATCAGTCGGCTTTGAGGAACGATTGAACAAAATGAACTTGACCGTTGAATTGTGGAGAATCTGAGCTTTCCGACGATGTCTAACATGTCTATATTGGTAAACATATTACCAATGTAATTTTCATGCATTCTGAGTTATTAGCTGCAAACGCTTTAAAACATGACGCCAGCGACATAGTGGGTTTTGAGAGATTAAAGCAATTTTTGAATAAAGAAAATAAAAAAAAAAACAGTATTTGAAGCTTTGAACCTCTCTAAACTTAATATGTCATCTGAAAAAGTCATGAGTATGGCCAAACTGCAGAAAGACCAAGAAATGGCTGTCCACCTAAAGTGACAAACAAGGCAAGAAAATTAATTAGAGTAGCAGCTAAAAGCAATCAATAGAAAAGGTAGGAGAATATGTCAACAGCAAATTTCCTTGTCAACAGGGCAATATAGACTGTATGAAATAATGGTAAGAAGAAAGTCATGGTTGAAAGAAATATGCAAAAAAGTCCGATTTGCAGTTTGCAGACTTTTCTGACTTTTAAACTCTGCATAGTAAGAAAACAAAATCATTTTAGAAAATTGAAAATTAGTGGGAAATCGCCTTTGAGTCTGAAAATGACACAAAAAAAAGAGATCTGAACAAAAACGGAATTATTTGGATTAAACAAATTCATGCATAAGAATAGCCTTTGTACAAAGTAGCACTAGATCTGACTGAGAATATGTGTCTAGATTTTTGCTCATGCTCTCCATCTCGTCTGACTGAGCTCTAATAAAATGGAATGGATCAAATCTCGAGATGTGCTCAGCTGTTAGGTACATACACCCAAAGACCTGCAGATGTAATTTCGGGAACAATTGAGCCAACAAAATATTCTGAAGTTTTTGTTTATAATAAAGACCAAATGTAAAAAAGCTCTATAAGCTCTATATAAGCGCATGTCAAGGAGCATGTCCCTTTCTCACCTCCAAACAGCTTCTCTGCTTGCTCAGATGTGCTGGGAAAGCCATCCAGAACATAACCCTGGTTTCTGCATGGAGTGGACAGCAGCTTTTCCTTTAACAGCTGGATCTGCTCCTCTGAAACATCTGCGACACAAAAGGAGAGGTGTGACAGGGCCTTAGAATAAATTCCAACTCAGGATTTGGGAATAAAAGGACAATAGATCGTAGCTCAGCAGAAAACACATCTGTCAGATTACTGTGGTCTTTTAAAAACTATTACTATTTGCAATATTTTAAGAAATTTATTTATTTGGGTTCCACAGAGCATAGAGCACCAATTCTGAAAATTGGGGTCCCGAACCCGCATGGGGTCATGAAACGATTTTTGAGGGTCGCCAAATCATTTTGGAAAAAATATAAATGGGAAAAATGAATGTAGCTTCTGACTGGATATTAGAAATATGGCGAGTGGTTGGTCTCAAACAGGCAAAGAGGCAACAAACCTGTCCAGTGAGGTCACAGCATTTAAAAGAAAGCTGGAGTGGTACTGTAGGCTGTGTGAGTAGATGGGGGAAATGTTGAGGTCTTTACGGAGTTATGAGAAAACCATTCAAACTATGGAAGGAATTATTGTCTCTGACCTCAGGAGCCTGCGTTAAAGTTTCAATAAGTGTTCTCCAAAGTAAGACAGGCCGAAAAAGCACAAATGCACACAGCAGCCTTTTACCACCTTCACCCTGCATCATCTGTCACCAGAGCTGCAGGAAGCCCTGCTTGAACTCTCCCCTGATCGCACATTACAGAACGCTAATTCTCTGCATGCTAGCTGGAAGAGTTCTGGTTGCCAGTAGCAACAGAGTACGCTGCGCTGTCAAAAGGTACAACTGATGCATTTTTTCTATTTGCATCCACATATCTGTGCGAAAAGACTCTAATCACAACTCCTCAGACTTGAAAGTGATTTTCCACTTGGCTGTTTCTAACATAAAGCCAAGAAGCTGCTCTGTTCAAACAAGCGGGCAAAGCGTCACGTTAAATACCTGCAGAAAAACATGTTATTGTTCACATTTAACCTCCCTGAAACATGTTTAAAATGAAATGTGCTGTTTTCTAGTTTTCTTAAAGTTTAGCGCAGGTTGTTATCGTTTAATTTCATTAAAAAGAAAATAAAGTTTTGCTTTATTTGTTATCATTTCAAAATCAATGATGGGATTTAGTGACCATTGTCAGAACGTTAGTCTCTTTATTTTCTTCCAAAAAAATCCCAGTGTGTTTAAAAGTAAGATCGCAAACCGACCATTGGCATAGAGCACTGCAAAACATTAAAGAGTCTAGGAGTAAGCACTGGAGTCAAGCACATGAAATGATTCCATTTCTGGAAAAATATTAGTTTTTCCAACGTTTGGTAAACTGCCAGGTTTTTATCAAGTCCAAGGACCACAAAGGGTTTTTAAACTACATTCAGTTATCCGTTTGGTCAAACACTTGTGTTAGAAACATTCATCTATTAAGCTTGTATAACAATGAATCAGGGAAAATTTTGCATTAAAAGCATCCAACCATCATTTTCCAAGTTGTCCTTTAGGTGACTGAGCAGCTCCTCATCTTCTGCTGCTGGGTCCTCAGCATCTGGGTCAAGACTTTTCACAGCTTTGTCCTGATCATGGATAAAAACAGAGTTTGAGATTGTGGTCACCTTGAATTTAAACTATTGGTGAGACATGGCGGCTCACCAGCCGGGCGATGGCCTCAGAGATGGTGTCCTTCAGGGTAATGTGATGTAGTTTGTAGTGCTTACAGATCTGCATGGAGAATGTACTTTTTCCAACTGCAGGAGGACCTAGAATGCAAAGTCGGAGAGGCTGCAAAAAAGAAACAACAAAGCAGCTCAAGGACTACTCTACTAGAGAAACACTATATGGGTTTGAATCTGTGCTAAGAACCGACTAAAAGCCCGCGAGCCTGTCGATACTCCTCCACCACCAGCTCCACGTTTTCCACCAGTCCAAATTCACAATGCCAGTTGATGGAGAACAGGTTTCTGATGGTTTCTGCATCCATCCTTAGGTTGACCTGGAGGGAATGGATCTCCATGTCCTGTGAGGCAGAAATGAGTCAACAGCAGTGGTTCCGCTGCACATTAACATAGCAGCAGAATCTTTCACAGGACATCCCCACCACGTTTATTATTCATCACTGAAAAACTAATCTAAAAATAAGTAGAAATTTCTTTAAATAAATCATTAATTTTAAGCTAAAAAGTAAAATGATCTACCCATTGAATTACTAATTTCTTTTGAAACAAGATAAAATAAAACAGCTGAATGTGTTGCACTTCAAATAAGATCATTAAGTTTTTATTTTTGTGATTTAGAAAAAAAGAATCTTATTCCAGAGGGGTAAAGTGTCTTATTTACCTGTTAGAAATCAAGGGCAGGTAAATTTATTTCAAGAAAAATCAGCTTACTTAGATTTCAATTTGTGCAGAGTTAAATCAGAACATACACTGAAGTCCTCGATGAGGTAGATGTCCGCAAAAGGCCTTTTACGGATCTTTCCAGGTCCCAGAGCAGAGGAGACAGCCTGTATAGAGCATAAGCAAGCACTGTTTGGTTTCTTTGACTCTTTTACAGAGATTAAACTTTTTTTTTTCCCCCTCACCTTTACCAGTTCTTCAAAGCTGCTGTGAGATGAGTCCACCGCCAGCAGATAGTAAGGTCTAGGCTTATGTTCAATTACATTCTGAAGCACCCTGAGACACAGAGAAAAGACAGTTTATCAAAGTGATGACTATCTAGAGGCATGCATGTATGTCCACATCTGCTCAGGTGGATTACCTGGCCAAGTCTCTAATGTGGATGGTGGGAACAAAGTTTTTCCCATCTCCAAACACGGATATTTCAGCTTCTTTTCCCAGCCATGACTCCTAAAACATATTTTTTTCAAAGATCCAGTTATTTGTTTGTCTGTTTTAAAAAAGTCCAACAAGCCGTTTTTTGTAACCAGCCTTTTCTATAATAAGATTTTTCATGCATTTGAAGTTCAGCTGAGAAAGTCTTACAAGTGACCACTAGGGGCCATTGTTATTTCAGCAAAGCGTAAGTGTATCAGAGGTGGAGAATTGTTTAATGCTCTGTGAGAAGACCTTGAAGAAGTAGTGGAAGATATGTTCTCCCATTCCATACTGCAGGCCTGATGCCACCACATAGGTGGGGAAAACCTTCCGGTTCTGTGAACAGAGCCCATCCAACATAATCAGTCCAACTCGTCTGCAAGACGGAACCAAAACCTTACAGGTGAAATGTGAACGCACAGATTTTCCCATTTTCACCACCATCTTCTCCAAATCGATGTGCTGTTTGAACCTAGGATGTGGTCTCCTGCAGTAGAAAAAATCGTCACTTAAGGGGCGCTCTGGATCCTCCTGGTATTAGAAAGAAATACCTCTGAGCTCATAGTGTTTAACAAGGAACAAAAGTGAAACATAATAAGAAGGTAACTTACTGGATCCCGTAGTATAGTGGAGGCCCATGTCATCACAGTGGAGATGAGGATAAAGAGCTTGGGGCTGGAAAAATGCTCTATTTGATTATGGAGAGCTGTGAAGGAACCAGAGATGACTTTCTTTGGATATATTCATTATTTTATCAGCTACGATGCTAATTTGATTTAAAGCATGCTCTTATAGTGTCCTAAATGTTGCAGGTTTCAGGTTGGGACTTGCAAAAGTATTAACATCCGTTAAATTATATTATGTCACAAACTTCAAGGTAATGTTTTGATTAGAACCTACAGAAAGTAGTGAATTGAAGTAAAAGGATATGTTGTTTTAAAAATGTTCAACCCATACCAGTAAAAATCTGAATTACATAAAAAACTGTGGCACAATTATCTTGACTTAATAAAAAACATATTTTTCTTCTGCTGTTACAGCCAACCTACCAGCTTTGCACATCTAGATCCATGAAAAGTTCTTATGCTGCTGGAATGTAAACTTTTCTTCTAAAATCTCTTTTTATTTTGCCTAATCCATCTTTCCAAAAACTCTAATCTATTTACCAATGTCTGACAAAGAATGCTATACCCACAGAATGATATAGAGGGTGTTCAGGGATATGTGCAGTATCAGTTCAAAGCTTTGGACATTTCTCAATCTCTCAGTCATGCCTGTGTTATTGCTGACCCTATACGCTTTATTTTTCAGTCCGTATCCAGTTTGTTCACTAATTTTCTGTCACTAACCCCTAAGGTTTCCACAGAAGAGGTGCATTGTTTCCACCTCTGAAGACAATTGTGTTTTTTTATCAGTGTAAACACAGCTATTTAGATAAAACTACCATATATTTAAGAGCTGCATTATTCAAAAAATAGGCTAACCTGTCACAGAAATGAGTTAGGTTTGATTTTAGATAAATGTCAAAGTCCTTAAGAATTGGGAAGTGTAGAGAAATAAAGCAGTATAAACATGTTAATTTAGAGAGAAAATAGTGCTGACAAGATTAAGTGGATTAGTGGCACCTTGGCAGAATATTCCAGTGCTATTTAACCAGAATAAAAACATAAATTGTTGTGAATGAATGCAGTTCTTTTTATTGAGATGATAATAAACTCTTTTCAAAAAAATCTTAAATATTCAAAGTTTAACATGATTACTTACTTTTTTTTTTTTGTTTGTTTGTTTTCAATTCACAAAATATAGGATATTGCTCTAACAACTGCATAACTAACCATTAAACAATATTCATTAGAGAAAATAGAATTAGGTTTAAGGTTAAGATTACATTCATGAAACCGCATTACTATCTATTGTAGGTTACCTGTGACAGCCCAGGTAGCTTCCTCCACCTGTTCAGCATCCTGACTGATGTTGTAGATAACAATGTGACACTCCATAAGCTTTGAAAGCAGTTGTTCTCTATCAGGATGCTTAAGAAAGACAGAATAAAGACAGAAGCAGTTAATTTCCCATTAAACCATTTTATAAGGTAGCTCTGGGTGAAATCACTCACATAATATTCCTCCAGGATGTACGATCTGGGCTCATTGGATGGGGCACAGACAGTTCCAACCACCTGGAAGACTTGACCGGGGTGGAGCAGTTCCCTTTCATTCTGCTTCTCCTCCTCCTCATCCTCATCCTCATCATCATCATCATCTTGATCGTTATTTGAGACCATCTCCATGCTCTTACATAGGAACTGTACAACACAGAACAATGACATAGCAGAAAAGACGCCTATAGCAAATGGAACATTCGATAAACAATTAATTAAATTAGGTTTGTAGATGCTTTGATGAAGAGTTTGGTAATGAAGTAGACTTACTATGTTAGATTTACGTAAATATTTTAGAGAACAAAAAATATAAATATATTTTACTTTTAACTCTATTTAAGAGATATTTTTTAACTATCTGTTTGGCCTCTTAATCAAGTCAGGCCAAAGTACCACATTAGGAAAAACTGTATTCTATGCAGACATTATCGATTTATACAAATGCTTTGTATAAGTATTGGTGGCACATAAGTTAACCAATCAAAGTATTGGTTTCAAATTTTTGTCTTGTGCGTCAATTTTCTATTTGAAAAAACCTAATTTATGTTTTTAACCTTATTTTATTATTTTTATTGTGTATCTTGCTGAAATTTCTGAAAAAGAAATTACTTTCCCCAAATACTTGTTCAAGATTCATCAACTAAATAACTGAATATGAAGAAAATTATTTTAAAATCAATTTAAGGCAGGGACGTGCACAAATAGACACTCGGTAGTGCTAGACCGCCTGCCCCTTTCCCCTCTGGACAAAAAAAGTGCCCTCCTGCAATGTTTTGGGGGTTTTTTGTCTTCTTTTTTTAAGTCTTTGGCCCAAAATAAAATTTATGAATTTAAAGCCCCTTAAACCTAGAGTCTAGATTTTTATTAATACTTTACTCATGTCTTTTTAAACAAAATTACAGCACACAAGTTACATTTTGCCAGTTAAACATTTCATTTAAAAGCAAACATAAGGCCAAATGATGGGTATTCATAAAAATAACTTTAATAACGTTCTATAAAATTAAAGTGTGGCATTAAGATAAAGTTACAATTTCTGTGTTTATTAAAAGCCATCTTGGACTGCAAGTATGTACAATTTTCATAAAATAACTGTATTGGCCCCCAATCTGAACAGGAAATTAAGATTATTTTAGATTGGAATGAGAGTGTTTAACCTTAAATTAGGATTATTACAAATGATGCACCTGAAATAAGATAATGGAGTAGCTTTCATTCATATTTTTAATGTTAATCTTAGTTAATATTCAAATTGCACTATATACCAACTCAAATAAAGTGAAAATAAACTTAAAGGAATTCTAGGATCCTGGAAAACTACCTGACAAACTTTGAGCAAGTGAATACATATTTATGGAAGATATTTATGACTGTAGGAAATAACACAATTATAACCAATCCATCCTGAGGCACTTAGTAAATCATATGAACCTCTGTATTATTGGATTTTAAATGGTTCTTTATTTAATTGATGCCAATTTGTTATTTCTGCCCATGCACTGCGGAACGTCATTAAAGGTCAGCATCAGACTGTTTGGCTGTTGGCGGTTACCTGCGACCTATAAGGTGCCCTTTTTCCAACCTGAGTACCTGTCCCCAAAAATACAGTACCTGTCCACGCCACTGATTGAAGGTAAACTTCAGCGCTGTATGCGGATTAAAAAAGCGGTCCGAGGTACACGCCTACTTGCTACTCACAACAGTCACGCTTCTCAAGTTTTTTTTTTTTTTTTCTACAGTGCAACGATTGTAAGATTCTTCGGTATATGTGATTAACGAAATCAAATAAAGCAACTTTACAGTCCAAAAATACCTCAGCGATGTTGCTGGAAGAGTAGGAGTCGATGTTGTTGAGAAAAACCCGCTTAGGGATTAGTTTGCGCTTCAGCACCTGAGACTCCGCCATGTTTCCAGTAGACGTTGGAGGTGGTTCGTTACTATGGCAACGATAAAGCCAAAAAGAAAAGGAGCTTCTACAACCAGCTCAGGAAGTGATAGTGACAAGAAGTTAGACTTCCTTGGTTTGGTAAATCATTAGAAATACATTTAATCTTTAAATAAACTTTAAATAAACTAGGTCAGTGCATCTCTGCAGTACAAGTGCAATAACCCAAAGTCAACTACTGTTTAGACTTAGATTTGTTTTGTGATTTTGTGTACACAACTGTTAACAAAAAGACATTTCGTTTAAAACAGCTCTAGACAATTTCATTATTTTTAAAGTGCAGCCTTGCAAACAGAAATAAATACATCAAAAAAGTAATCTAAACATATGACTGTATATTTACAGTACAAACAGTATGTTTTTTTTTTTACTCCTCCCTTAGGTCTCTATATTCCAGGACATTTAAACTTTTTATGTTTTTTTGTACTATTTACACTCTTTATATTGTCTGTTGGATTTTTATATTTAATGGCATCTTGCTTTAACTCTTTGTATATAAGCTACTGAAACCAGAATCTCCCTGAAGGAGTAATCCCAAGGGATAAATACAGTTGCATAGGTCCTCTTTAAAGATCTTAGGTTTGATGGGGCAAAATAACCTATTAACTTAATCTTATATTGAAGGAATATATACAAACTAAAGCTTGGTTTTGAATCAGTGACCATGCAGGAATGGATGGATTTGAGATTTCTTAATGAATTTGGTGAGCAAAAAAAACAGGAAATAAATTGAAGTGGCATTTAAGAAATGCTTAAAGATTCTTTTTTATTCTCCAATCACAGCTTTTCATATTTACAAAAACTCAGGAGAAAAAAAGCTCTTCAAACACAGACAGTAAAACCAGATAAATTCATTCATCTGGGATAAAAATAGACTCCTCACATTCATTTTCCACTCATGGTAATACAGTTGATAAAAAATGTTCCCTAAAAAGCTTGAAGAGTTTTCTTCATGTGTTCCCTGGTAGATTAAAACATTCAGTCTTTAACAATCAATTATTAAAAAAAACACACAAAAACAATCAGTAAAACAGTGCTTAATTAATCAGGTAGTAAATCTGAAGGCTTCAATTTACTTTTCATCAACATGTCGTTTCTGCTGTCTACATTTGTACAGCATATATAAAGTGTCCAAAGCTTTTTATTGTTCGTCTTTACTCTGCAAACACATAAAAGTTATCAAACTGAGCCAGTTCAAATGCGCTTGTTCCAATAGCTGCCCAGCCGTTTTTTGGTGAAGACACTCCAGAGATTTTCCACAGCGGCTGTCCATCAAGCATTCCGGATGCGTACTGACCCTGCCACACACACAAAAAAAAAAAAAAGAAAACATGGAAAGATTGCAGCATATAGTATTTGTTTTAAAACCATCGTTCTAAACAGTTTCTCACCTCTACAAAGAGGGATAATTTGTACCACATAAATTCTCCAGTTCCTGATGCTCCCTCTGCCAGCACCATCTTACTAGCTGTTAAGACAAAAATCAAAAACATATTTAAATCACAGCCTCTAGATTTCGTAGCTTTTCTGCAGTGACAAAACACACTGACCCAAATCGTTGGTAACCCTGTATGTTCCATTGGCAAACACCCAGAAGAAGATTCCTTTAGCGCTGCGAATTGATTCGCCTCCTTTATCCACCCTGGCAGCCACAAACACACCGCCGCTCTTTACGTTCTCCATGAAAACATCACAGGAGACAGTCAGATTTTGCCTGTCACACAAACATCAGTGAGTTAATTTTTCAACTGTAATGTTTCCAGAGCAGCACCTGTGATTTAAACCCTGACTTACCACTGAAAGTCTCCGATGACGCTGATCGTTTGATCGGCGTCTGCTGCCCAGGTGACTGGCCTTTCAGTTACGACCTGCCGTAGCGTGAAGGTGTGAGGTCCAGGGTCTGTCAGGTTAATGTAGTACTCAAACACCCCGGTTTGGTCGGCGAAGTTAGGGGCCTCAGAGAACGGAGGGTTTCCTGCAAAAGCACAACTTTTAAAAGGCCTGGAAATATCTTAAATTCATGCAGCAAATGTTAAAATAAGTGATAAAAAAGCAAAAATATGATTTCAGATTAGTTCTTTACTTTCAAATGCAAATCGGATTTACAAGTTACTTCAAGGTAGTCAATTTACATCCTGATTTAGGGAGTGGCGGCCTGGTGGTTAGGGCATAGGGTTTGGAATCACGAGGTTCTGAGTTCGAGTCCCACTCCCACAGACTGCCACTTCGGATCTCTGAGCAAGACCCTTAATCCCAAACTAACATCGTGGGGGCCCCCATGATGGAAGCCTACTGTTTTCAAGAGGGATGACTTAAATGCGGCAGTAAATTTCTCTAATGTGAGATCAATAAACTTTAATAAAAATTATTATTAGATCACAAATTTGTGTTTAATAATTATATATATATATATGTATATATATATATATATATATATACACATTTATTTATTTTATGCCTCCAGAAACCTTAGTTTTCTTTTTGATTATTATTTTTTTTTTTTTTTTATTACAGACAAATATTTTGCTGGTTTGGGTTTTCTTTCCAAAAAAATATGCAAATAATATTAAAATACCATATTAAATAAAGTTAAACCTTAAAAGGTATAGTGGAGCATTTTCTTTTTCTGGGTGGATCATCAAAATAAGTGGTCCTCCTAATTGTCAATCATCCTAGTAATATGTTTACAATATGTTAATGTTTACGTGCTCTTCCCCAGTTAGCCGTCTCTTTCTGCCATGCACACTTTTATGTGCAGAGCTACGGTTTCAGACAGTCATTGAAGCTCACCTTTCTCACCGAGGTTCTTTGAAAATGACTAAGGGACGTAAGAGAAGAGAAAAAGTGTCTACAGAGTGTATTAGAAGAAAATAAAGGCCTCACAAGAGGCAGATATATCCCAGAATGCTTTGCATGGAGAGCTCTCCTCGCAAAGCATTATGGGATTTACTGTCGCAATAGGCTGTCGCTACCTGACAGCAGCAACTGATAACAAAGATGACGCCGGCACCGCACAGTGGACCAACAGGAAAGTGATCATCTGTCCGAACAGTTAGTTCGCTCAGTTCACTATATAGTGATTGAGGGATTTAGTGTGGACGTTCAGACACAGTAGGCTTGTATGAGTTATGAAAACAGCAACTTTCAAAAAATGGGCTATGATGTGTTTAATAGGCGTTTCCTCTTGGGAGCGGGTACACGGTTGTACATGTGCATTTTTTTTTAAGTGGAGAGGGTTGGTCTTTTAAAAATTTCATGAAAATCCTCCACAATAGCTTTAATAATTGGAAAAAAAATTCCTTTTTCCATTCTTTTAAAATGAAAGAAAAGCTAAAACCATTGAAATATGTGTTTAAATCCAAAATATATATGAAAAGCAAACAAACTGCTTTAGTTTAGGCATAGTTTTTTACGCCCAGACATTTTTTGTGAGAAATATTCTTCATATCAAGAAGTAAAATATATCTTATGTTGAATATAAAACAATTTTATTTTTAGGGTAGCTTTGGTCGATCGGCTATGATATTCCTTGATCAAAACATGAAGCAATGTAGAAAATACAATAAAATAAAAAAGTAATATAAACAATAAAAAACATGAATTAGTTAATACAAAATTTTAATATTTCTCACACATAAAAAAGAAAAGAGTAACATTTCAGGTGAAATTAATTAAAATCCAACACCCTAGAAAAAAAAAACAAAAAAAAAACATAAAATTGAAAACAAATAAAAAATAGTTTGTCCAATAATTTGTTCATGAAATGCTTTACTTTTCAACTTTTAACCACATCCCCGCCTCTGGAACTCTCTACCGCCCTTATTTAGAAACACGGACTCACTTCTCCATTTCAAATCAAAACTCATCTATTTAAAATTGCCTATTCTGTTTAATATTAATCTCCCTTTTCCAGTTTTTGTAATTTTTTTTAATTTTATTTATTCCGTGTTTCTCCCATTGTGTCTTTATCTTTTGTACAGTGACCTTGAGTGTCCAGAAAGGCGCCTTTTAAATTTTATTTTTATTCATATTTATTATTAAAGACATTTTCCATTTTTCAACGTTTCCTGCATATACATTGCTCTCGGCATCAGCTTCTCTGACATATTACTTGATAACATTTTAAGACAGATGAATTTCAGAGTGATTTCGTACTTACGAACATCAAAGTCGTCCTTGTAGACTTTAGGGAAGCGAGCGGAGGGTGGCGGCTGAGGGAAACTTCCTTTCTGGCCCGTCCTGATGGTGGTAAGAGTATAGATTTCATCTTCAGCCAGATTCAGATTAAACAATCCATCTTTAAGCTGAAAGGGGCAGAAACATTTCTGGTTATAGACTGCTCCCAACATTCCTTTCTTTACATCTTTAAAAGTTTGTGGTTCTTAACCTTCAAAGGAGTCAGTTTCTCAAACAGCGAATGCTTCTTCGCCTTGAAGTCAAACTGTGACCGCCACACCTGCAACTCTTTGATTGAAGCCTTGGAGGAAGAAAGCAGCAGCGAGTAAAAGCAGAGAGTTTCACCAGACACACGAGGAGCTCATTAAAACTTACAAAGGATCCTTTCAGCTGAAAAGTTGCATTCTGGGACGTGACGTTGAATGGAAGGAGAGGCGGTCTGATGCAGATGGAGTGATTGTGAGTCTGAGGAAGAAAGACATGATTCATCATCTGTTTTCATCCCTCTTCTCTCTTTGCTCTCTATTCTGAGCATCATACATGCATGGTGTAAATGCCAAAGAATAGCAACCAACGCACCATGGTTTCTATGACAACAGTCAGGTTTCCGTTCCCGTCAGTCAGGGCCACGTAACTTCCTCCCTGAGTCAAATGTCCTACTGTCTGCAGGTATGTCCATCCAGGCTGAATGAACTGTGTGCTGTGGGCTGCAAGCAAACAAAACAGGAAAGCTAGAATGACTTCTGGGCTGGAGTTCCAGATGTTTCATCATCCAAAACCCAGAATTTTTTCAAGAAGCGGATGCCCCAAAATTAAAAAAACTAACCTAATCAAATAAAAGCTTCATATTTGATCTAGTGCTAGGCCTAATCAGTTATTAGCAGCACAGATGGTGTTGAAACAGTGTTTTCTGAAGGAGGAGGAAAACATATTTGGACACAGCAGGGAAGCCCCTGTAGACCAAGATGCTAGAAATGATGGACAGTGTTTAAAACCACTAAGTCAACCACATTTCTATGGAAACATTTAAAAAGGAATGCTAGAAAAATTAGGAATAACATTAACCTAAGAAACATTTTGAGAGAAGATCATGTATAAAAGTTATTAATGACAAAAAGCATAAAAATTACATCTTTTTTAAAAGGTGACACAGACCTGTGATCCAGATCGGAGACTCCACCACATAGTTTCCGCTCCAAGGTTCCTGCGCTGTCATCAGCCCATCTCTACCAAACGGCAGCTCCTCATAGTAACTAGCCACCAGGTTCCAGGCGATGGTTCTGCAGAACACAAGAGTTTATTCATTTCCACAAAGAGGGAAGAACAGTGAAGGTCAGCTGTTAAAAAACTTTCTTATACAAAACTTGATAGTTTAAGATTAGTAACAAAAAAACCCACATCATTGTTTGGGGTAAAAGTAACCTGCAGATAAATAGTAAGGAATATAATGTACCAGGAGCTGCTGTGGTTTCTCTTTGAACTAAAGCTGCAACTAATGATTATTTTGCAAATTGATTAATCTGTCACATTTTTTTATAGTAATAATCAGATAGCAAAAGGTTCCTTAAAGAATACTTTTTAAGAAATAAAACCAGCTCAAACTAAAACATTTTCACTTGTGAAATTCCTTTTTTTTTGTCTTAAAGGTATAGTGGAGGATGCCCTTTTTCCGGGCGGAGCAGACGAGCTCCTTCAGCAGAAGACTCCTCCTACCCAGATGCACCACAGAGCGACACAGGAAATCATTCTTACCTGTGGTCATCAATCTATATAACGCCTCCTATGCACGCCAAGTATCACTTTACTTGGATTTATCACTTTACTTGGATTTAGTTTTCACATATGCATATATATATATATATATATATATATATATACAGCAGAGCTATATGTGTATATATTTTATCTCTTTTTATTCTTATTTTTTATCTTTATTATATTGTATAGTTGGATGTGTGTATATATTATATAAAACTGTAACTGGAGCGTGTAACAAAAGTAATTTCCTTCTGGGATTATTAAAGTATTTCTGATTCTGATCATCTAAATAAGTCATCCTCCTAATTGTCAATCATTGTAGTGATATATTTACGTAAGGTCGTCCTACATGCTATCTTTTCTGCGCATGCGCACGTTCAGGCCTATATCTGTGGTGAGCTACAATTTCGGACAGTCATTGAAGCTCACCTTTCTCACTTTCTCTTTGAAAGTTACCGAGGGACGTAAGAGGAAAAGTGTCTACGAAGTGCGAGAGAAGAAAAGAAAGGTATCAGACGAGGCAGATATATCTAAGAATGCTTTTTGCGGAGACCTCTCCTCGCAAAGCATTATGGGATTTGCTGTCACAGGGTCCCGCTGTCGCCACAGGCTGTCGCTACCTGACAGCGGCAACTGATAAAGATGGCGCCAGCACCGCGTGGAGTAGGGGGTACGTGAACAACAGGGAGCAAAAAGCAGTGATTATTTGTTGGAACTGAGTTTGCTATAAAGTCTAATATATTTTTCCCGCTCTATATGGTGATTGAGGGATTTAGGGGTTTGGGCGGACGTTTGCACACAGTAAGCTTGTATGAATTATGAGAACAGCAACTTTTAAAACAGAGTGTGCACGAGCAGAAATGGGCTTGCGCATGCTCTTGCGCACAGGGTACAGGGTTGTGCATGTGAATTTTTTTTTTTTTTTGCTAAAATCCTTTAAATCCTTTTAGATGCAATGCATATCTTTGAAGTATCATCTCCTTACGCAGTCATTTGTCCATTGATGTAGTTCTGGTTTAGGATACGCGCCCAGCAGCCTCCTCCCACCTCGCTGTTAAAGGTGCTGTAGTCCTCTGATGACCACAGCCTTTTCTGGGTCTTCAGGGCCTGTGGCACTGTGGTGGTTCCTGGATAATGTGCCCTGTTTCAGAACAAACAAGGTTAAGGTCAGCAAGATAAAAAAAAAATAAAAATCAAACAAAAGAAATAAGAATAAAAACAGTCAAGATAATTTACAACAAAAACACTTTCTGTAAAATGAAAAAGTATGAGGAGAATCTCATTGTAGCATTCCACAGATATCTCGTTCATGTCGGCATGTACATGTGGGGTTACTTAGTGCAGTCCCTGAAGTTGATGTGCTGCAGCAAATCGGACTACAGCCTACCCTATCACGTCTACGGCGCTGCTGAGCTCTGGGTCGAGCGTCAGCGACAGGGTAATGGGCTCCCACAGGTTATCGCTGGCTACAATCCGCACCGACTCCAGACCCTTCTTATCCAGAGTGTACCGCAGAAGCTGGTGGAGTCACACATGGAGAGCAGAGAGACATTCACACCTCGCTCAGTTTGAAAGATTTGCTGCTGGCATGGAAAACTCATCTGATTTTATAGGGGAAACAAATCCTCAAAACTATAGGTAAAATTGCCAAGAATCTGCACTCAGCACAACTCAGTGAGTGATTATTTAGACCCCTAGAGTGGATGTGGAAAATAAAGTATAATAAACTCAACTTTTATTGCATCAGTAAAATTTCCCCCCAAAGCATTTAAAAAAAGTACCTAAATTTGCTGCAGAAAAAAAATTAAAATAAACTGTAACTTTCAACCTATGACTAAGTATAACAATGCAATGAGGAGGAGATTTCTCTAGGCTCCTAAAGATGGGAAAGACATTTATGCAGGTTATATAATTAATTAATATCCGCCACAGTCTACAGCCAGAGCAATAACTAAAACTGACTCTGTGACAAAGTTTAACAAGGAGCTGGATTGATTCAACTACAATTAATTTCCAGATCTTCTATGTATAGATTAACATCAAATCTAAATCCACCAACTGCTGCTATCAATTGTCCTTCTAGCTCTTCTGTAATGTGGTTCTTTTTAGTCTATCTATAAATGTATTAAAAGTTTTCCATGACTGCAGCAAACACAGAATATTCAGTCTGGGTTAATTCTCACAGTCGAGCAGAAGAACAGCCACCGACATTAAGCTGAGCGGGTGGAATCTCAGAAACCAAACCCCCAGAAACAACGTTTTTTCCTCCAGGTTTCAGAATTTAGCCAACCAATTGAGTTCACCTGCACGCATTCTGGACAGATGAGTCTACAGGAGGACTTGGTCAATACTTACCCAATCACCTGAACAGAGTCGTTAAGGTGTGGGTCAGTGATCATAGATTTAGCGATGCTCCAGTCTCCGTCTGCGGCAATGATGCCGACGTCGGTCAGACCGACTTTATCCAGCATTTTCCGCAGAACCTTGGTGACAAAAAGACGCTCTCAGAAGAATCTCACTAACATCTCAGCTCATTGTGAGTGGCTGTTCTTCCCATATGAGTGACTGTGGATCAGACTCAAGGACATCCATACATGCATACCTTGATGTACTTGGAATTAAAATCCCTTTCATTCCAGATCTAAACACGAAAAGAAGAAAATATAAACATATATATTAAGGCAAGCATTATTTTTTGCAAAAACAAAAGGTTCTTTTTCCCCCTTCAAATATCAAATCACAAAATATGACCAATATAAAAAATGCGAATAGGAGTGAGTGAGAAAATCTGATTAACTTTTAGAAATTGATCCACTTTCAAGAAAATGATACCTTCTAAAAATTTACAAAACAAAATAATTAAAATCTAAAGTGCATATGGACAGAATCATGATCTCAATCACTGGAGCACACAATGTTCACCCCTTACACCCATCATAGACAACAACTTTCACCCCCTGCACCAGACTGCAGAGGAGCCAAGCGACTCTTTTACACCCTGCATGTAAAATGGAGCACTACCGCAGGTCATTCATCCCTGCTGCAACCACTCTACAATGTGACACTAAAATGGCTACCGGTACATCTTGTGCAATGCATAATGTGCAATTTACTATTTAATACCCTGTTTATTTATATTTGATACCAAGTGCAACAGCTATATATATATATAAATATCCATCTATAGAAATACTGATGTAAATACCCTGTGAATAGCCCTGTATAATAATTCTGCTAAATAAGACACTTCAGCTACATACATACAGACTTGGTTTTTGTGCTTATCTTTTTCAGATTCAGTAAAAGTACAGAACTTTTCTATCTTTGTAAAAAATTAAAAATTAAAAAAATATATTTTTCGACTGAAATTGATTGAAATTGCTTACTGTACTGCTGGGACTATAACCTGATTAAAAAAATAAAATAAAAAAACAATCACTGTAACCGACACAGCAGAAGGCCTTGTTATGATCGGCCCTTTTTCAGGGAGAGAGGTGAATAACAAAAACTAATTATCTAACAATTATCAGCTTAACTGTTATTGGCGAAGTCCTACCTCTGAAGCAACAAATCGGTAATAAAATAAATCAATAAATGCCTCCTTGCTTTGATTCAGCATATAGATTAGTTTAAACAATAGGTAGAGAGGAAGGGTTTAGGCAGAAGGGCTCCATCTTAGCAACAGTTGCCTCCAATGAAGAGAATGCAGCATTAAACATTTGTCTGAAAACCTCCGGCCATGACTGGATATCAGGAATACTCACCCCAATATACTGAATGTCCAAGTCATGGTACTCCTTGGCTCCCAGGATCCAGTTCACCACGTATGCAGCAGTAATGTCAGGGTAGTCATAGGGCCAGTTCTCCCCATGGCCGACCCAGCCAGGGAAAGCCCAGGGCAAAGCTGCACCAACAAACTGTTTTAGCATGTAGTAACAAACTTGATATTCATATCCTAGTCATAAATCTATTTCTTTCAGTGTCCAGGTTAGTAAGATTCAGAGAACATTCCCACCTATAAGTGTTATGTTTGGGTTCCTCTTCTTAGCCTCCTTCATCAGCCACCACTCGTAGCCTCTGAAGTAGTTCTGATCATTCTCATAGTGCATGTGTGAGGGCTCTGTCCCATCTGATGAATCAAACATTGGAAGAAAAAAAAAAGAAAACGTGGTCATTCCAATTGTTATTTTGAGCAATAAACTGTGTGCGATCTGTGCCGATGTTTAATGTTTCACCTGTAGTCTGAGCATCTCCACCGATCTCAACCTTCAGAATATGTAAAGAGGCTCCAAAGTTTGGCTGTAGTAACAAAAAATGATAAAAAAAATAAAAATAAAAATTCAATCCTGGACAAATCAGAGCCCAGCTTTGTCCAGGACATGGTTAGAGCTCATAAGCAAACACCACAACGGAAAGAATGTACTTTAGTTAAATGCATGAATGAAATTTTGATTTCAGAAGTGGGGGGAACGCAAGTATTTTTAATATAACTAACTTAAAGGTATTTGACCATCCAATCACAGACCCGATTCAGTGGAGCATTAGACGTTTGTAAAGTGAGCTTCTCAGGAGTGACAGCAGTGACAACCAATCAGACAAGCTCATCTAAAATCAGGGAACTGGGCTTAAGCTTTAGATGCAGTTTTCCGCTGGGTCCTAGTGCTCGACGAGTGTCTGTGTACTGTAGCGTAAACATTGTTTTAAGACAGTAAAACATGCAGGGGAACAAAACGGACATTTGAAAAAGTGCAGGGGACATGTTCCCCCCTAGCCTCGTGAGACCATCCTGATCTCGCGAGCTTTCAAGATTTCACTCGCTAATCAGTCTGGAGACTCTCCTTTGAAGAAAATTTGAAGCCGTTCACCAAACGAACGTCCAATCAGCGTTGGCTTTGAGGCGGGTTGAGGTGTGACGCAACGAGAAGCGCGACAGTTCAGTCTAAAGAACATGGCGGCTTCAGCCGATGAAACTAGCGTTAGCGTGGCTATCGAGCAAGTTTTATCGGAATTACAGAGTATTTCTTCACTGAAAGAAGAGCAAAACACTGCTCTGGAGGCTTTTCTCAGAGGAAAAGATGTTTTTGCTCTTCTCCCGACTGAGAGTTGGCAAGAGTAGCCTGGCTGTTAGTACGTCATATGCTTCGTTGATCTGATTGGTTTATTTGGCCCGTCTATCACCAACATAGGCCAATCAGCTAACCAGTATTTTCGCCCCTTCTCAAAATTACTTCAACGGAAGGTTTCCAGATGGATATGCGGAGCAAATCCATCTGACGATGTCTGCTTAGTTCCCCCCATCCCCCCCCCCAAAGAAATTACGTCCGTGGTTAAATGAGTTGCCTCTGCTAACAAACTGAACATGTGTCATCGCTGGGTCTTTCAGCACGATAATGATCCAGAACACATGGATACAATAACGCAGAGATGTTCCACCAAATAACAAATGTGCTGTTTTCCAGGCCATTCTAAAAGGGTTAACTGAAGAGAAAAAAATAGCCATCCATCCATCCATCCATTTTCAAACACGCTTAATCCCAAGTCGGGTCGCGAGGGGTGCTGGTGCCTATCTCCAGCTGTCAATGGGCGAGAGGCGGACACCCTGGACAGGTCGCCAGTCCATCACAGGGCAACACAGAGACAAACAGGGCGAACAACCATTTACACACACACTCACACCTAAAGAGAATTTAGAGAAGCCAATTACCGGTAACCCAACAGTCATGTTTTTGGACTGTGGGGGGAAGCGGGGTACCCGGAGAGAACCCACGCATGCTCAGGGAGAACATGCAAACTCCACGCAGAAAGACCCCAGGCCGGGAATCGAACCCAGAACATTGTTGCTGCAGAATTGATATATTTGTATATGCTCTGTTTTGCCTTTAGTAACTTTTCTTTTCATTTCAATATTCTAGACAAATACTTTTTCAAAGGTTTAAGAACTTTATATAAAGAAAAGTAAAACAAAGACCTGACTTTGGATGGAGCAGCACATTTTGAAGCAATGCACATAACCTGTTATATTGATCCTTCCTGCAGCCTGGCCCCTCAGTCTCACCTTAAACAGGTAGTCCAGGATCTGGCTCCGATACGGCTCGGCATAGTTTACCAGTAATCGGGATGTGGCCTTGAAGACAAACCAAAGCTGATCGGTGGTAGTTAAAGGAAGCAGGAAGCTGCAGATAGAAGCTGAGCTGAACTCACCCCTCCACCGCTCAACCCTCCGATCCCGTCAAAAGTCCTGCCCAGGCCGCCCTCATCTGAGAGCGGGTATATCTGCCCGGACAGAGGGCGCACAGGGAGGGAGAGGATGCCCACTGTGGATAGAAACACCCAGAACACCCGGTGATCCATGATGTGTGTCCCGGTTATGAGCTGCCCTCTGTCATATGCGGGCTTCCGGGTTCTGCTTAGTCACATGATTGCAGCGAGTCACGTGCTGAACCCAGCAGGTGAGGCGCACGTGGTGTTCAGTGTTTATGATCTAAATAACAGTGTTCAAGACTAAAAGAAAAACTCGATCTAGAAATATTTAAGTAAAAATATAATATGGATATCTCCCACTGGGACTGGACTCTAGTTGCTTTATTTTTACTTTTTTTTCCCTTGAAAGTATGCAGAGACACCCCACAAGACACCAAGTAATGGGGTCGCAAGATGGTGCTGTTTGTTGATGTATTTATTTATTTATTTATTTATTTATTTATTTATTTATTTATTTATTTATTTATTTATCTAATACATTTTTCAAATATAAATAAATAAATAAATAAATTGTAAAATGCACTTTTAAATTTGGATGCAGGTCCAGCAGATTCCACAACAGTTTCTTCCCCCCTGCCATTAAACTGCTGAATGGTTTGTATTGTATTTTATTATATTTATTATATTTTATCATTATAAAAAAAGTTAGAACTGTAAATTTACAGTCATATGTTTATATTACTGGTTTTATATATTAATTTATTTATTTACTTTTTTTTTTCAAGGCTGAATTTTTTAAATAAGATGAAATTGTCTAAATACACACACATACATACATATATATATATATATATATATATATATATATATATATATATATAT